AAGAGATAAGTAAAGAATTAGGACTAAAAATATGACAAGTTCTAATAAAAGTTTTACAAATTTTAGCTAATATATTAATAAGGGTAGAATTGTATTTTTCACCCCTAAAATGGCTATATTTCATCTTTTTAAAAAAGATGGCTGTATTTCATTTTTTACTTCAAAAAAGTGCTAAAAACCGGCGGCTCTCTAATTTATAAGTCTAATGGGCTACTCCTCATTTTAATAATTGATTTGGATAAAACCCCACTCAAGTTTCATCTGAGCTTTCTCTATCTTAATGCGCTTCATGTGCGTGAGACTACACTCGTTTTGTTCTCGTTTCTTACAGTGCCTTTATTAATAGAAATCAAATTTTTTCGAATACAGCCTGAGGAAAATTCATAAATCAACACACATATTTGATTGTGTATGAATGTGTAAAAAGACTATTGAAAATTAATCAAAAAAAAAAAAGACTATTGAAAATGGGCAAAACGTCTTCTTTTCAAAATTCACATTTCATTAAACACAAGAAGTATGTTTATTGTATCGTAATTCTTTGTGCGAGACAATGTAACGATTATGTAGGTCATCTTGATATATTTTTTTTAATAAAAATACATATTTATTTTGGAAAAAAAAAACATGCTTTTATTTATGTTATTTGTTAAATCTTAAAATGTGTCACTTGTATACAAAAATTATTTTTATTAATTGTCATCAGGTGGCTCCCTTATGGAGTCATCCATAACTTGATATATGGACACATTTCTAATGTTTATTTATTGTAGGACACTGTTTGTAGCTTTTTAGTCAAGTACGGGATAAATCCCGACCTCGGGTCGTGTCTCTCAAGAAAAGTTGTTCGGACAATGATCGACTGACACAAAAAAAAAAAATGAAGTTCCTAAATATTATACTCGCATAATTTGGTGGTTGGATTAAGCTAAAGGACGCAACTTTTAACTCAATCGGAAGCAAGATTAAATCTTTATCGCAAGCAAGACATTAATTCGTAAGACAAGAAAAAAGAAAAAAAGAAAACATAGAGAAAAATAACAAAGTGCTCTAAGGCCCGAGATGGAAAGAAGGCATCATAGGTTCGAGAATATGCAATCAAACAATCATCACTCGCGAATCAATTAATCGAGCTCTCAATCAATTCTCGCTCACGTAGTCAACAACAAAATTGCATGATCCCTAGCCTACGAGGATGAATGCATATTCTACTCATGAAAGCTCCTACCTTTACCCTAGAAAAATCCAATAAATAAAAGCAAGAAAAACTCACGAGATCTTTGACCTTCAACTAAGTCTCCGATTGGACCTTAAAAGAAGAAATAAGCCGGAAAGTTATAATCTTGATGGATAAATATTACAATAAATAGGGTCTTGGAACCCTTAGAGAAAAAAAAAACTAGAGAGAGAACATAGAAAATAAAAGAAAAAAAAACTAAGAAGAAAATTTTAGCAAATGAGGAATTGTTTCAAAAATACAAAGCAACAAGACTATTTATAGCTACACTATAAATACACACACATAATAAAATACACTCGCGAGCTAGGTGGGTTTTGCCAGCAAGACATGAAAATTCGCTCAAATCGCGTGTGTTTTCTTGTGCATAGGTACTTGGGAACTCGCGCGCAAGAGAAAAATTCGCGAGCTAGGCATGGATTTTCGCGGGCACAGGCTAGAAACTCGCGAGCTAGGCCACACTCGCGAGCTGGGTAAAGTGGGGTTCGCGGGCTACAACAGAACTCGCGGGCAAGAGTTGGACTCGCGAGCGGGGTGAAGTGGGGTTCGCGGCCTACAGCAGAACTCGCGGGCAAGCGTTGGCCTCGCGAGTTGGGTGGAACGCATTCCGTGGGCGTGGACGGCAGACGTGTTCTCGAGACTTTGTCGGGGCGTTTGACCGGGAATTCTCCTGGGACTTTTCCAATGATTTTTCAGCCAATTTCCGGTCATTTTCTGACGACACTCCCGAATACAAAATCCTACAAAAATAAAAGATAAAAAAAAAATAATAAAGCACAATACAGTAAAACTACACGAAAATAAATAACGAGCAAAAACAACTAAATGGACAGAAAAAACTTAAATAAAATAAAACGAGCACAAAAAAATATATAAATACACAAAATAACAACAAAAAAAACACAAAACAAATACGTATCAATAAATCAATTGTGAATAAATGTAAGTAAATGGCTTCATAAGGCGAAGGGCCCATGTCGAAACAAAATTTATTGATGTTAATGTTTCTTGATTGCCAAACTTTTCTTCTTTCTCACACACTGTCCACATAACTTACTTATTTTTGTGGTCTATTTGTTCGCACGATTCTGCTGCAAATGTCCATTCAGAAACAAAAAAGGTTGTCATTTATACATAATCCAAAAAAATAGACACGAAAATTATACAGGACAAAAAAAAAAAAAAAAAAATATATGCATACATATACTAAATATAAATAAAATAATAATAATAAAATAAATGCATTGCCAGTACCATCAGAGAGTGGCAAATACACGTGGCATCACAGAAATTCACAAAAATTTTTGATAAAAAAAAAATATCCGCCGAATCAAGTATTAACAAGATTTTTCATCTTCATTCGGCGGATATATTTTTTATCAATAATACTGAATAAAACTTTTAACTAAAATTGAATTTAATATCAGAAAATGCTAAAGTGTCGTTGGTAACCGTTAGAACATCATGTAACCATTAGAGATAGTTGATCTAATAGTTACAATACGATAGATCATTAAAATACGATAGTAAAAATAACACACTTTATATTACAATCCTCAAAAGTCATTAAAAGCAAAAATATATTTTTAACTATGAAAGGTCAAACCTAAGGAAGTAAAATAAACAAAATGGATAATAAATTACACAATAAAACACAAAAAAAAAAAAAACATAAAAAAATGATTCTAATGTAGAAATAAATTTTGAAATTTAACAAGGCAAGACCTGAAAGTAAAAAATAAAAAAATAAAATAGTTAGATAATAAATAAAATAAAATAAAAACAATAAAATAAATAAGACTTTACAGTCCCTCTGAGCTTAATAGAAGAGCCGAAGCGAAACACTTCAACACAGCCGCCTCCTTAACCCTTCCTCTGTTTTTGTGCTCACACTTTATCTATCTATTTTTTTTTTTT